TAGATATATCATGCTTGGAAAGTAAAAGTGATTGAACAATAGTTCATAAACAGTTAATAAAACTCTCATAGCACAAAACCATTTTAAAATCAAAAAACCAAACCACAAACACCTCCTAACCAATTGGTCCCAATCGGGCCGACGAAGCCCACCATCTAGGTCAATTAGGCTCGTAAGGCCTAGAACCTCTGATTTCTTATCCAAAAGCTCCTATAAGTCCAACCAACAAAGTCTACTAAACAAGTCTTGAAGGTTTGGTCTTGATCGAGCTGTCGATTGTAAGCCAGTCACACGATCAGATGATGATTGTTTACCTAACCCGAGAATCATTGACTCAGAGTATCCGGGACACTGATTCTCAATCCATAAGTTCCCACACGATCCTAGAGGTACATGGAACAACATAACTAAAATTGGAACCGATCTAATGATTCGAACCTATCGAACCCGGATATCGCACAAAAGGTACAATATATGTTTGATAGTCAAATGGTAACCAACTTCAAATCAGAGCATACCGTAGGGCTCATGACAACATGGGGAACATTTTAGGATGAAATGGGCTACCACCACCGCCAGTAGTGGTAGGTGTTTAGAGAAATTTCCGACAATCAAAAAATTTTCAAATCTCCGGTGAAGCCCTATACCAACACAATTAGACTTACAAGGGAAGAAATTTTTGTTCTCAGACCCAAAAAGTGGCCTGAACGGGGTAAATCACGGCCCAAATCGTTGGCCAATTTGGGGGTTAAAATTCAATCTCTCAATCAACAAAATTAACCCTAACCACCTATGCAATCAGCAAGAGCATGAAGAGAGGATCAAAATCCATATCTAGATCAACGTCAACAACTACCATAGTCATTGGAAATGGCAATGGAAAATGTCGAACGCTCTCTACCTTTTAGAGCTCACGTCGTCACATGGATGGGCTGGGTGGGCTATGCTCTGGCCCTGACGAAATACCTGACCTTGGCCGGTCATTTTCTTACTTGTCTCGCCCTCACCAGTCACCGGACAGTACCGTGGTGGCGCCAACAACACTATCTAGAGAGAGGAGGAAGAGGTCAGGGGGAGAGAGAGAGAGAGAGAGAGAGAGAGGAGAACTGATGAGTGTATGGGCTAGCTTGTCCTACTTTTAAAAAAAAAAAAATCCAATTTTGAACTATTTATGGTTATGCCACCGCACTTCCGTTGATCAAAACGTCATGGTTTTAACTCTAATTTAGGCCCACCACATGTCTACAAACTTGTGAGCTCGAGCCACCAAAGAAGAAGCTTGATCCTAAAATGATTAGCTGTTATTTTATTGTTTATCTTGCAAGGTCAAAGGGTTTTAGATTTTACTGTCCAAATTATTGTACCCGAATTGTTGAGACTAGCTTTACAAAGCTGATAGAGCAAGAGGAGAATGCCACTGGGATTGAAGATTTTATTTTTGAAGAAAAAGGTGATATAGCTGTGATTGAGAATGATGAATAAGACATTACACCCTTGATTCCTTTAAGTAAAAACTACATTGGAACCTCCTCAGTTTGAAGAACCAGTGGATCAACAACAACAAGAACAAGCTGTCAAAAATCTTAAGCCAGATAATCAACAAGAACTAGTGCAACTGAGGAGATGTGACAGACCAAGAAAATTTATAGCAAATTCAAATTATGTGTATTTACAGAAAATCGATTTTGACATTAGAGATGAAGCTGGTCCAACAAGTTTTAAAAAAGCTATGGAGAGTCAGAATGCAGACAAATAGAGGGAAGCAATGTTAAATAAACTCGAAAGCATGAAGAATAATCAAGTATGAGAATTGGTTGAACATCACAAGAGCCAGAAATTTGTTTAAAACAAAGAAGAATAAGGATGGAAAAATTGAAAGATTTAAGGCTCGATTGGTAGCAAAAGGATTCACCCAAAGGGAGGGAATTGACTACATTGCGACGTTTTCTCTAGTTTCCGTCAAAGATTCTTTCCCCATAATTATGGCATTGGTGGCACATTATGACTTGCTTTTACAACAAATGGATGTAAAAACTACCTTCTTGAATTGTGAGCATGAAGAAGCAAATTTTATGAAGTAACTTGAAGGGTTTGCAAAGGAGGGAAAAAAGAACATGGTTTGCAAACTTGACAAGGCAATTTATGGTCTGAAGCAAGCAAGCATGAGGTGGTATTTAAAATTCCATCAAACTGTCTCATCGTATGGTTTTGAAGAGAACATAACCAATCAATGCATTTATATGAAGAAGTGTGGGAGCCGATTTATTTTTCTAGTGTTGTATGTCGATAATATGTTTTTGGCTACAAATGATCACAATTTGTTGAAGGACACTAAGGAGCTACTTTCAAACAATTTTGAGATGAAGGATTTGAGAGAAGCTGCCTTTGTGTTAGGCATTGAAATTTAGAGAGACAGAGCTTGAGGTCTACTAGGCTTGTCATTGAAAACATAAATTGAAAGGGGACTCAAACGTTTTGACATGAGTGTGTGTTTTGAACAGAAAGTTCCGTTAGCTAAAAGATATTTGAAGAAGGAGCATTGCCCCAAGAATAATTTCTACCATTTTGATTATTTAGCTGTTTAAACTTATTATGCATTTTGTTTATGTATGTGAGTTTATTGTCTCTTTTGAGATACTATTATTTTAATAACATTGCAGATTGACTCTTGCTAAGTCATAAAGGTGTATGTGTACTGAAAAGAATAAAGATTCACATTACGGATCAATACAAGTTAAGGTTCGCGTTTGTAGGTGCTTCATGTGTTTTGAGATAGCATTATGTGATTATACATGGCTTGTTTTTGATAAAGGAGAGCAGTTCTTGTCTATAGTTCGTTTTGTCTAATCGTTTTTCACTGTACCTTGAAGGGAAGGACTTAACTGTATTAATCTCATGGCCAATAAAGATTATCAAACTTTTGCAATACAAAAGCTTAGTGTCTAGTGCTTGATCTAGTGGGAGAATGTTATATTACTATTTAGATCGGTGCACTAGATACTAAGTTATATCAGGTTTGATAAGAGTTTAAATTAAGTTATATCTTGAGGCCCAAGACTTTGTGAAATATGGAAAGTTATGAAGCCAATTAAAGGGGTCCTATTTATTTGCTTTTGCGTGAACCATTGTTTAATGTGCTTAGATTGTTAGTCAAGTCAGCTATTGGTGATGATTAGAGACGATTTGACCTAACCATGTATAAGCTTAAGACCTTGCTCTCATCAGACACGTTCTCTAACCCCTAATCTCATCATAAAGAGAGCTGAAACAGTTTCTGAGATAGAGCAGAAGCCTTAAGTCGTTCATGCTTTTTTGCTCTTGTTGTTGCTGCGTTGATTGAGTTCAGAGGTTGTATACTCAAGAAAGATGGCACCATATGTGTCTTCTATATATTTCAACTTGTGTGAAAGATCATGGACACTTATAGAAATCTAACATGTAAGTCCAATGCTTTGCAAAGTTATCAATATATGCATGAGATGGCAAAAGAATTCTATCATGAAAATCGTACGTATTCATGCTCGACTCAAGAATGTAGTAATCTAGTGGTGAATTAGGAGAGGCCTCCTACTCAATTTTTTATAATTACTGTGGACGGGCTTTAAAGACAGATGATAGAATGAGGGGACTCGGAGTTGTTATTAGAGTTGATTGCAGCAGCAGACAAACCAGTGTGTGGCATGTTTACGGCCAACGTCACTGAATTATTTGCAATCAGATTTGGCCTTCAACTTGCTATGGACTTGGGTTTGCAACATATATATTTATGGTCGGATGCACAAGCAGCTATACAGATGGCTTTCCAGTGTGATGCAGACTTAAGCTACGAAAGAGTTTTAGTAAATGAAATTCAGGTTTTGGCTAATTCATTTCATAGTTGTTTTGGTTAGTTTCAACCTCGTACTTATAATCGTACGACTTATAGTCTTGCACGTTTTGAACTTTCTATTTCGAACCTTATAGTTTGGTTGAAAGACGGACGTGAATGGTTGTCTCTCATTATTAATGATAATGTTATCCTTGCTTCTTAATGCAATGTTATGATTTGGTTCTAAAAATGTATATATAATTTTGAGTACTTGTTCAGAAATTTATGTCATGTGAAATAGTTATAAATTGTATTTTCTATTACCTAATTAGTATGTCTTTTTTTAATTTTAAATGGTACTATCAGCCTATCAAACCAACCCGAATCGAACTGTCTGGTAACTGACCGTTGACATGAATGTGCCTAAGCCTAGATGACGGTTAACGGATTGAGCCATCTACCGTTCCGACTTGTGCCTAAGCCTAGGTAGATTAATTAGCAGAGGGGTAAAAAGGGAAAACAAAAATTCTTATTTATTAAGGCAATTAGACTCAACCTGAGCCCACCTTGTCCAACTCAAATGTGAAAAGAAAAAACAAAAACAAAAACCAAAAAACCATAATTGAACTTGAGTTTTACTTAGTCAAAATGAGGTCTCTGTTTTGTTCTTCCATCAAAATGAGGAGAACTTTTGGGCAGTTTGCAGTGAACGAATTACGTTAGAGGAGAAGCTGTATGTGAGAGTTGGAGGAAATTAATGCACCAAAATTAATGTTGATTTCATGTCCATATGCAAATTACAAGAGAGAATTTTTCTCATTATGACAATTTTCTTTCAAGTGAGAGTTGGAGGCAAGTTTCCCTTTTTTAAACTGTACTTATTTTTAACTGTCCTTGCTAGTAACTCTGTAGAATGAAAGAAATTATAATCCACTTTGTTGAGCCCTGAGACGGCAAAATTTTTAGGACATAAAAACAAGTCTTCTGCAAATTTTTCCAAGCACATTCAACCATTGCAAAATAGAGGCACAACGTCTTGGAGACCCATTCTACTTACCTAACCAGGAACATGCCTCAGTTCCAGTTCCAGGTATAAAACGAAACAATATTTTAATGGTTTCTTCAGCAGTGTATAATGAATGCAAAATCTCCATTGAGAAGAATTTCAAGCAAAGCACCACCATCAATATAGAACTCAGAAAGGCAACGGCCATAGTATATTAACAAACCATTCGCAGCTGAGTTCATGAATGTGTGCAAAGGAACAACATTACAAGCAATTTACTTTGTAAAACTATGGGCATCGCCCATTAAACTAGGAACTGAGAAAGCCTATATATCCGTTCCTTCAGCTATGCGACAAAGCAACCCACTTTTCATCACTCGTGGGCAGCACAGTGTTTCCCTCAGGAAATTTCATATCTGACTTGTATGGATAAACAGAAACCTTGTTATACATGCTCCTTTTAGCTGGTGGCTCAAGAGTATAGTCCATAGCTAAGTTAGTGGAGGCATCAGAAGGCAAAGTCGAAGAAGAGCCATTTCGGGACACAGAAAGGCTAGAACTGTTTGACTCCTGTGCACGGCCATACAGAATGTCAGAAGATGAGAATCCACAGCTTGTCGTAAGAGCACCAGGTCGTGAAGATACTGTGGTAGGATGATGACTGTACCCTTCTGCAGTTACTGACATCAAAGAAGATAAGGCCAATGATTTAAACATTAAGCTCTATGTACTGTAGTATTATTTTTATGGAGTACATAAAAAAAGAAGGGGGAGGATGTCCGAATATCAACATCTACTTTTATCAATCTTCATACTGTATTTCAATTCTGAGCTAAACCAATTGATGCTTGTTTGCATCTGAGCACTTCATGCCATAGCAGTTTCAAAGTATACATACGTATCCCAAAATCTTGAGCCAACACTCAATAACTCAGTTTTCTGGAATTATATTTTCAGCATCTATACTTGACAATGATCTATACTACATGTCGTCGAATAAACTGTATATTATTTGAATCAACACAATAGTTTGAATGAATGTGAGACTGACTAGAACATTCTTTGTGAGTGAAGTTAGATGGAACAAATATATCAGATAAAGAACGTCAAAAAAAATATATCAATTAAGCAAAAGGTAAATATTAATATTTTCACAACACAAATTCAAGTTGTGGGATAAAAAGAGTAGTTGCTATTCTCCTTATAACCAGAGCTCCTTTAGACATTTGAAAGCTTGGTTTAAAAATGTCATCTCTAGCTATCTATTTAAGACATCCTCTTATATCTTAGATGTAACCATATATGCTCAAATAGATTGTACATCTTTCTGTTAAACATCATATCATCATACAGATATAGTGCCTGGATTTAAAAGAATTTAACAATAAAGGACATGATCCTATCACAGACATTACGAGACATTATGGCAACGATAGTATAGAAATAGGCTTTAGGAAAACAAAAGAGCTTATGGGGGAAAAACAATACCACTATTCTCTGTCTGTTCCCCAGTAATCGCACTCGGACTTACGATCATGGGGGCGTTAGGCCTGCCTTGTTGTAAATCAGTAGCTAGGTTTGAATGAAAGCTTGAAGATAAGATCTCTGGCGTTTCTAGCCCCTTCTGAGCAGGGGGCCGGACCAAAGGGATCTTACTTGACTTACCTGAATGAGTGTGAGGATGTGTAAGTTTTTATTTCCCTAGATCATCAGATATTATTTTTGAATTAAAAAGGTCTTACTATGCACATCATGTGAGCATTATTTCATAAAATAATTACTGAAAATAAACATGAAACAGAAAGAACTCCATAAACCTAAAGGAAATATATCGCATGTACTTTGACTAACAAATGAATTGAGAAAACAAATTTACATAAATGATGATATTAAGTTTTATTTTATTTTACAAGAAATACAACTTTATGAGATAAAATAATAGAAGAAACTTAACCCCTTTTAAGCACTTACACTTCCTAAGAGACAACATCCTAATAAATAACAAAGAGTATAAATATCCTAGGGTAACACAAATTTGGAGCTAGTAAGTTGACGAAAAATACTCTTACGCTCTCTCAAGGTATGGTAAGCAACCTTTGCCGCACTCATCTCTGCCTGCTTCTTGCTTCTTGCTTCTGAACCTGTAAAAGTTTCTCCCTCTATCTCCACAGTTGAAACAAAAATTGGCACATGAACTTCGCCAGAATTCTTTGTGCTATAGACTGGCATAGAAAAACCTTCTTTCTGGATTAATTCTTGTAAAACGTTTTTGTATAAACCGATATAATCCTAGGGTAGGAAAAAGAAAACCACAAAGACACGAGATATATTCAGAGATGCTCTATACTATCAGAATATGGGAAAATTATGAAGAGAATATAAATAAAATTGGCCACCTCTTGTATTCCATTTGGCAACAGGGACATCAAAGCAACTTTTGCAACTGCATGTTCAGCTTCCTTCATTGTAGGAAGAAAATCTTGACCCTCATAGGTATGTTCATCAACTGTTACCCTACACTTGAAACGATTGGCATGAGGCGGACCTTCCCGCTCACAACTGTACACAGGTAGAAGAAGATTTCTCTTTTGTGCATAAGTCTGCAGTTGATTCTTGTACAAATGCTGTATATCTACATACCATATTGAAAGATTATAAGTTCTCTGTCATTCAATAACTTTTTGATAATCAAGACAAAGTTAAAACTATGTGCAGATGATAGAGAGTTTAAGGCATTATATACTTTATGTGCCATTTCTTTTTCACATATCCTTCAAACTCTGATTATAATTTCAACAGATTCTAAAAAAGCTAGCTCTACTATTAAGATGAAAATTTTTATTTAGGGGCTCAGTTCCTCCAAACATTAATAGTAAAGAGAATGTGTGCAGAGAAAATTTTCTAACCTCTCAATCGATTACCATCTTCAATACCCAATGTGCTGCCATTCGCCTGAGAATTGCCACCTGATGCTATACCACTGAACTGAACTGGCACGTGCGAAGTTTCATGTGTTTCTTGAATCTTTGGTTGCAATGTCTGTTTTGTGTCATGTGTACCAGTCAAATTGGTGCCCACTGTTGAAGGAAGTGCTGGAATAATACAACCCATAAGATACATGAACTGATTCTTATAAGATCACATCAAGACAGAGAGTTTAAGGCATTATATACTTTATGTGCCATTGCTTTTACACATATCCTTCAAACTCCGAGCATAATTTAAACAGATTCTAAAAAAGCTAGCTCTACTATTAAGATTAAATTTTTTATTTAGGGGATCAGTTCCTCCAATCATTAATAGTAAAGAGAATGTGTCCAGAGAAAATTTTCTAACCTCTCAATCGATTACCATCTTCAATACCCAATGTGCTGCCATTCGCCTGAGAATTGCCACCTGATGCTATACCACTGAACTGAACTGGCACGTGCGAAGTTTCATGTGTTTCTTGAATCTTTGGTTGCAATGTCTGTTTTGTGTCATGTGTACCAGTCAAATTGGTGCCCACTGTTGAAGGAAGTGCTGGAATAATACAACCCATAAGATACATGAACTGATTCTTATAAGATCACATCAAGACAGAGAGTTTAAGGCATTATATACTTTATGTGCCATTGCTTTTACACATATCCTTCAAACTCCGAGTATAATTTCAACAGATTCTAAAAAAGCTAGCTCTACTATGAAGATGAAATTTTTTATTTAGGGGCTCAGTTCCTCCAATCATTAATAGTAAAGAGAATGTGTGCAGAGAAAATTTTCTAACCTCTCAATCGATTACCATCTTCAATACCCAATGTGCGGCCAGTCGCCTGAGAATTGCCACCTGATGCTATACCACTGAACTGAACTGGCACGTGCGAAGTTTCATGTGTTTCTTGAATCTTTGGTTGCAATGGCTGTTTTGTGTCATGTGTACCAGTCAAATTGGTGCCGGCTGTTGAAGGAAGTGCTGGAATAATACAACCCATAAGATACATGAACTGATTCTTATAAGATCACATCAAGACAGAGAGTTTAAGGCATTATATACTGTATGTGCCATTTCTTTTTCAGATATCCTTCAAACTCCGAGTATAATTTCAACAGATTCTAAAAAAGCTAGCTCTATTATTAAGATGAAAATTTTTATTTAAGGGCTCAGTTCCTCCAAACATTAATAGTAAAGAGAATGTGTGCAGAGAAAAGTTTCTAACCTCTCAATCGATTACCATCTTCAATACCCAATGTGCGGCCAGTCGCCTGAGAATTGCCACCTGATGCTATACCACTGAACTGAACTGGCACGTGCGAAGTTTCATGTGTTTCTTGAATCTCTGGTTGCAATGTCTGTTTTGTGTCATGTGTACCAGTCAAATTGGTGCCGGCTGTTGAAGGAAGTGCTGGAATAATACAAGTTACAACCCATAAGATACATGAACTGATTCTTATAAGATCACATCAAGACAGAGAGTTTAAGGCATTATATACTTTATGTGCCATTTCTTTTTCAGATATCCTTCAAACTCCGAGTATAATATCAACACTTTCTAAAAAAGCTAGCTCTATTATTAAGATGAAAATTTTTATTTAAGGGCTCAGTTCCTCCAATCATTAATAGTAAAGAGGATGTGTCCAGAGAAAATTTTCTAACCTCTCAATCGATTACCATCTTCAATACCCAATGTGCTGCCATTCGCCTGAGAATTGCCACCTGATGCTATACCACTGAACTGAACTGGCACGTAAGAAGTTTCATGTGTTTCTTGAATCTTTGGTTGCAATGTCTGTTTTGCGTCATGTGTACCAGTCAAATTGGTGCCTGCTGTCGAAGGAAGTGCTGGAATAATACAAGTTACAACCCATAAGATACATGAACTGATTCTTATAAGATCACATCAAGACAGAGAGTGTAAGGCATTATATACTTTATGTGCCATTTCTTTTTCACATATCCTTCAAACTCTGAGTATAATTTCAACAGTTTCTAAAAAAGCTAGCTCTACTATTAAGATTAAAAAATTTATCTCGGAGCTCAGTTCCTACAATCATTAATAGTAAAGAGAATGTGTCCAGAGAAAATTTTTAACCTCTCAATCGATTACCATCTTCAATACCCAATGTGCTGCCATTCGCCTGAGAATTGCCACCTGATGCTATACCACATAACTGAACTGGCACGTAAGAAGTTTCATGTGTTTCTTGAATCTCTGGTTGCAATGTCTGTTTTGTGTCATGTGTATCAGTCAAATTGGTGCCCGTTGTTGAAGGAAGTGCTGGAATAATACACCCATAAGATACATGAACTGATTCTTTTAAAATCACATCAAGACAAAATTATTGAATCCAAATATCCAATGCTCAGGAGAAAAAGAAAAGAGAAAATGATCCGTTATAAATTAAAGTAAAATAGAAAAGAAAAAAACAGAAGAAATTTATTTCCAATCAGCTACCAAACAGAGGATTAGATAGAAAAACATCAAGAAAAATAAGAAATAACAACTTAAAGCAACCAAACAGAGTATAAAGATTAAAATTAAAACCCTACAACCCTTTTACCTGAGGAAGTGGGAAGAGAAGTTTGAGGGAATGAGGAAGGGCTGGGACTGCGATTGGTATGTCTGGGTTGCGGATCAGAGAAGTGAACGAAGGCAATTCTAGCGGCGTCGTTTTGGGCTTCCTTGGAGGACCTGAAGAGTTGCACCGAATCGAAGGCGACGCCGTTTATGGTGACGGAGGCTGAGAAGCGAGGGTTGTGGTCGAGGCCAAGCTTTGTGGCGTTGTACTCGGGCAAGCGCCATTTCCTCTGCTGGCACAGCTCCTGCAGCTTCGACTTGTACATCCTCTCTCTTTTGGTGTGTTGATCAACTGATGAAGCAATGGTGGTTGCTCTGTTTTGGGAAATTTGAAGAAGATGGAGATGGTACTATCACTATTTTTTCTTCTTGAAGTTGAGTGCTCTGCGGGTTATCTGAAAACAAATATTAGTACTTTGCGTTAAATAAATAGATTTACTTATTAATGAAATACATGTGACATAAATTATTCAACTGTTTCATCATCAGTTAAATTAATGATTAGTAAGGATGGGATCCATTTCGTACCATGACTTGCACCACGTGGACAAAAGCTAATAAACAAAATGTGCATTTTACTCACCCTTCGTAACATTGGTATACCATTATCTTATACAAAATGTGTTGTGCAAGAGTTTGTAGCTCAAGTAATTCAGGATATTTATCTTTGCACCCGATTAGGGTGGAGGCACATTGTTTGATTTTTAGTTTTAGTGTATTCCATAAATATGATTCTTTATTGGTTTGATTACTTTGAATTGATTGTCCAATTTGTTTTGATTTATAAGAGATGTTTGTACTCATTTCAATTTAAATTTAGTAGGATTATTCTTCAAACCTCAGAAGACAAGAGCATTATAAATACACGGCTACATCACACATACGAGGAAATCCAATTTTGGCCCTGGAAACTCCTCTCTCTCTCTTGCCACTCTCTCCTCTCTCTCTCACGTCTCTGGCTACCCTCACACATGGCTCCGGCCACTCGATTCTCTCATATTGTAGAGAAAACTCTGACCTTCTCTGTTATTTTCGTATCTTTCTCAAAATCATATAACTGACTTATGCATCGGATGACCTTTGACCAACACTCCCTCAGTGTGGTCTATTTACTCTGATCTTTTTCGTAGGGATCGTGGAAGATGACAGAGAAGGAAGCTGGAAGGGTGAAAAATCAACCCACGAATATTCCCGTGCGGAAATTTACTTGAACAGTATGTGTTTGGTATGCAGTTGTGGTTGGTTGGGGATGGGGTCGGGCCTCGTCCGCGGTGGACAGGAAGCTATGACTGATGTTGTTTTTTTAAAATATTAAATTTTATATTTAAGTTTTTTGTTCTTTTAACTAAATATTAAATATTTTTTAATTAAACAAATTGACGAAATTGAGGCATTGGAATGAATTTGTTAATTACTGCAAATATGGTGATCAAATTTGAATTCGAACCAAACCTCAGTGACAAAAAATGTAATTAACCTTTTTTTAAAAATGACATCAAGTTTTGGACGAACAATAAATGAAAAGTAGTTTTTTGGAAAATAATTTGAATTCTCAAAGGGTGTTCATGCAATTTGTGAAACCATAAGGAGTTTTGTGAAAGAAGTTAAAAATATATATGAGGTAGTGTAAACAACTTAGTTGACCCAAACTAAAAACGTATTTTAGAAATTACCCAATTGGAGGTCCGACCCTATAGAAGGAATTTAGAACCTTTTTATGTCGATCATGATAGTCGGTAAACCAAAACGGAAATGACAAATTTAAGAAAAGGTTTTTTGTTTTTTTGTTTGGTCGAAAGATTTAAGAAAATGTTAGAGTGAAAAATCCCAACACAGAGATTGGTGATATATATGACCATGTATTTTATTAGTACGCGTAAGGTGTAGCCCTCCAATCCCAACATTACCCAAACAAAATCCAAAAACCCTTTTTTTTTCTTTTTTTTTTTTCTTCTGAGATATAAATTAAATGATGACGTTCTCTTGAAGAAAAACAAAACAAAACAAAATAAAAAAGAAAAAGAAGAAGAAAAAAGATGGAGGATGTCCCATTGAGGAAACACATAACCAAAGTATTGCGTGCCAAGTGAACTGTGAAGCTGCCACATACCCCATTTTGCATGCTGATCCCAAATGCTATGCAGCCACGTATCTCTCTGCCCATCCCATGCCCTTCCTTTCTCCATCCTTGTCATCATCATCTCTCTCTCTCTCTCTCTCACTAAATTCTCTCCCTCAAACTCAAAACACCTATATAACCCACCTTGTTCCCCTCTTCATCAACACCACCACCACCACCACCACCTTCATTATCACTCTGCACACCAAAATATCTCTCTCTTTCTGACCTGCTATTTCCTGGAATTTGATTTGCACACCCAACGTAATATGACTAGTGTGTGCGCTGAGCAGCAGCACAAGTTCCACCCTTCCCACCAGCTCCTCTCATCCAAGAAGTCTCTCCACAACACCACCATTGACATCCCACCCAGAAAGCTCCTCACCCGCCGCACCCAAACCCAAGACTTCCCCTCCTCCTCTCCTGAGATGTACTCCCCCCGCTTCTCCACCGCCGACGAGGCCCTCCTCAGCAAGTTCCTCCCCTACAACGCCGCAGCTGACGACTCCGATGAAGACGAC